AGGACCAGAGCGCCCTGAGGATTTCATAGGACCAGAGCCCCCTGAGGGTTTCATACAGGACCAGAGCCCCCTGAGGATTTCATACAGGACCAGAGACCCCTGAGGGTTTCATACAGGACTGTCAGATATTTTTTTTTTTTTAACTTTTTCTTTTGAGGCCTGGAAGAGCAGTATTGCCCGTTTTCCATTACGAAACATTTGGGCTTTTAAGATGAGACAGTTGAGGAATCTATTCACGGTATTTATGTGAGGTAGAGTGACAGAGACACATCCCCAGGAATTTCAGAGTAATAAATTGAATTATTTGCATGAAATCAAACCCTGACCAAAGAAGATAGTGCCAGGTGTTGGCTGCTGTGTTCAGGTGATTTAACACAGGAGATTGAGCTGCTGACTTGCACCCCCACACGTCTGGGCTGAATTTTCTTTTCCAGAAATTGACCAACCATTAGCATCGTGCTCTTAGAAGAGTAAAAAGAAATATTCCAGATTTTCTATGACAGATAAATAATTTTCATCTTGAAGTTTTTTCTTTCTTTCTTTCTTTTTTAACTAGAAAACTAGTTACTTGGTATCATCTAAGTCTAGATTTTACAGATTATTCAAATAATGGAAGCATAACCTGTTTGTTTTTTAAAGATTTATTTACTTTATGTGTGTAGATGTTTTGCCTGTGTATATGTATGTCTCTGTGAGGTCTCATCCCTTGGAACTAGATTTACAGATAATTGAGAGCTGCCACGTGGGTGCTGAAGATTGAACCATGTCCTCTGGAACAGCAGCCAGTGCTCTTAAGCACTGAGCCATCTCTCCAGCCCCGGAGGTGTAACCTGTTGTGCCAGGGCATATAGCAGAATAGCCAGTAACGAACAGCGATCTTTAGCAGAGGACAGAAGGAAATAAGACACATCTTTGACTCTGCTTGTAGCTGTCTTTAGTGACTGTTTAAGAAGTTCAGCAATCTTTGGGCCTGATTCAGTTTATGTACCTTACACCTGCTCATCAGTCTGTGTTTTGTGAGATTTTAGCATCAAAGGATGGGACATTCAACCAAGCAAGTGAGGTTTACTGGCTAATTCTTTTGTCTTTTGGAGATAGGGTTTCACAGCATAAACTAGCTGGCCTGGACTCTTCTGTGCAGATCACACTGTCTCCTGCAGTGATCCTTTTGCCTCTCGCTCTGGCTTATTATTTTGAGAGAATATTGTGGTAAGGAGTAGCATTAAATGTGGTAGGAAAGGTTAGTAAAAGGAGCTTTCTGAAAGAGCAGTGAAGGAAGCCTTGAGGAATCACAGTGAATTTGCAAGTCTGTCTGGGTGCCGTGGAGCAGCGTGTGTGGCTTTTTTATTCTTTATAAATAAAAAGCTTTACACTTCTTTTTTTTCTTATGTTTGTCTGTTTTAGATTGTCAAGAGAGTGGGGACTAGTGAGGAAACCCCAATGATTGGTGACAAAGTTTATGTCCACTACAAAGGAAAGTTGTCAAATGGAAAGAAGTTTGATTCCAGTCATGATAGAAACGAGCCCTTCGTCTTTAGCCTTGGCAAAGGTAAGAGGGTAAATTTTTCAGTGTTTGCTTAGATTTGTTTCTGTTTGTACTTCTACAGAAGAAATGGAGCATGTTCCTGACAGATGCAGTCCACGGACCCCTAGGAGTCCCTGGGATCCTTTCGGGATCCGTAATATCAGTTCCTTTCATAACCGAATGAAGGTGATGCCTTTTTAACTTAATGATGTTATCGCTACTGAACTGAAACATGCAGCAGCAAAGATTGCCTCAGTGACGCGAGTATGATGGCGTCTCTGCCAGCAGCCGCTGTATTGCCACTGTCTCTCCCTGTCTGCTCTCGCCACAGGGCTTGATAAGTCAGTACCGTATTACACCTACAAGCCCTAGTCCAGAGAGCCCCAGAGAGCTACTGCTTTGTGGCAGACAGGCCATGAATAGAGCCCTTCTTGTCCTGAGGGAGCCTGCTGCCCTTGTAGTTGGGAACTGAGCTGGCTCAGGGTTTGCAATGAAACGTCGTTCTTACTTGCAAGGGCACACTGTGAGTATTCAGACTTGATTATTCAGACTTCAGCTGTTTCCTGAAGTTGAGTGAAATAAACCTGTCACTTCAAGGAAAAACGACTGATAATGTTTGTTTTTTCAGATAAAAATTAGTTTAAAAAAATTGTGGCTGCTGTGCGCTTACAGCTTCCTGAAACGTAAGACTCTTCTGTGAGAGCGGGGGTATTAATGAGTGTAGCTTCAGTTCTGGACAGTGAAATGTGTCACTATTAGAATGTCTGCCAGCTGGGCACGGTGGTGCACGCCTTTAGTCCCAGCACTCAGGAGGCAGAGGCCAGCAGAGCTCTGTAAGCTCAAGGCCAGCCTGGTCTACAAAGTAAGCTCTAAGACAGCCAGGGCAGTTATTACAAAGAAAGCCTGACCAGAGCAAGGTATATAAGGTCAAGTATGGACAAGGAGTCCATTCCCAGTACAAGCTAGCCCAGTGCTCTGGTGTAACATGGTGTGAAAAGTCCTCTGATGAGCTTTCACATTTCACACTGCAGCTGACCTTTTGAACCTCTAGTCCACTTTTGACATACAGTGACCTGAGAATTCCGCGACCCTGCTTTCCTGCCTTTTCCTAGCTCTCTGTAGGTTTGCATGTTTTCTACATTTTCAGTCAGAAGTAAACACATGAATTCCTCTTGGCTTGTTGTAAGTCAGACGTTTCACTTTTGTAAAATTAGAAATGGTAACTGAGGACTGGGGACGTAGTTCGGTTGTTAGAGTGCAGAGGTCAGGAGCACTGTGGTGTTCAGATGACCACAGAACAAAGAAACAAGCGGTTGGAGTGGCCCGTGCCTATCATCCCAGCAGTCGGGAAGTTCGTAGCCAGGGTTGCTATGGCTGGGATGAAACATCATGACCAAAAGCTGGGAAGGAAAGGGTTTATTCTGCTTATACTTCCATGTCATGTCACTGAAGGAAGTCAGGACAGGAACTCACGCAGGGCAGGAACCTGGAGGCAGGAGCTGAAGCAGAGGCCATGGAGGATGCTGCTTCCCGGCTTGCTCCTCATGCCTTGCTCTGCCTGCTTTCTTATAGAACCCAGGACACTAGTCCAGGGATGGCACCACCCACAGTGGGCTGGGCCATCCCACATCAATCACTAATTAAGAAAATGCCCTATAGGTTTGCCTACAGCTTGATCTGTGGGGGCATTTTCTAAATTGAGGTCCTCTCCTCTCAGGTGACTTTAGCTTGGGTCATTTTGACATAAAACTATCCAGGAGTCAAGGTAGGACTATAAGTTCAGAGTTGTGTTGTATTCACAGCAAGACCCTGTCTCAGAAAAAGACAAAAAAGTAGCCAAGCCACTTATATTTTATATTAATATTTTATAATGGTAGCTACTGCATCAAAATAAAAAATAAATATAAATGGAGGTAGTATAAATACTGTTTCTTGAGCTCTCTAAACTCTTATCCTGTACTTCTCCCAAGGTTATGCATAGAAGTATTCCAAAGAGACTATCCCAAAGGGAAGTTCTATGCTAATTTTGGGATTCTAGCCTGACTTCGATATTTTATTTTATTTTGTTTTGTTTTGAGACATAGTCTTCTCTATGTAGACCTGGCTGTCCTGGAGCTTGCTGGCTTACAGTAAGCCAGGCTGGCCTCAAACTCAAAAGAGATCTGCCTGCTTCTGTCTCCTGAGTGCTGGGGTTAAAGAGAGGCACTACCACACTCCTCCTGCAATAAGCATTTTAAATAGAACTATTATTAGCCTGGGGGCGTGAAAAACTTTATTGAAGAAAATGCACACACACCAGGGTACCGCACTCCTCTGCTGCTTGTGTGCCCATCTGCTTTTCTGCAGTCTTTCAGGCTGCGGCTTTCTACACGGAAAATGACTGTGTGCTATGACTGTAGGCTGTGGTATCATATCTGATGAGATGGAAGTGATGCCAGCCGCGGCGCAGATCAGCCCAGCGCAGTGCACACTTGGGTGCTTGTTGTGATTACAGCAGAAGATTACTGGCTGGCCTTAACGTTTTTACTGCCGCCACAGTGGAAGCTACTGTAACAGCTCGTGTCGTAACTCTCCTTAAGCACAGTCACATAACCTTTGGGAACAGTGCTTAGCCAGCCGTCTTGTCCCAGGAAGTTGGGAAAGAAAAAACTGAATCAGTCTGAAGAACTGGTTGTTACCACTGTGTTACAGGACAGAAAGAAGGGATAATTTCGCTTGTAGGTTTATTATTTGTGTTTGAGGTGCTGATGTCCAAATTTATTCTTTCTCTGAACCTTTTTTCCTTGATTGTAAAGTACTAAGTAAAACAAAGCAAGTACTTTCTTAAAGTTTGTTGTCTATCCATGTCACATTTTCAGGCTAAGAAAACTTAAATGTCCAGCTTTTCCCAACATTGTTGAAAAGACATCTTTTTCTTGTTTCCCTTGCTGGAAATCACTGTGTATTTAATGCTTGCATTTAAAATACGAGTATTTTTAGACTCTGATGGCGTGAATATATGTTTGTATGTGAGGAGATGGAGGTGCGGTGAGGTTATGGTGTTTGTTCACTTGCACGCGGTGACTCAGCCAGGTAGTGTTTCTGAAGTTTTGTCAGACCTTAGGTGTGAAACAGCCTAGTCCAGGGTGAAGAAGAGCCCACGGGGATTGGAGATTTAGATTAGTGATAGAGTGCTTACCTAGCAGATGAAAGGCCCTGGATTCAGTCCTCAACTCTGGGGGTAGGGAGTGTGGGAGGGGCCACAGATAACAAAAAGACAACCCTCACCCTTGAAAAAAAAAAAAGGTAACTGGGCACACACAGATTTTTAGCCAGGAGGTGGTGCACACACGCCTTTAGTCCCATCACTTTGGACACATGGGCAGGTGGATATCCAGTGAGTTCCAGGACATTCAGAGCTACACAGAGAAACCCTGTCTCAAAATTAAACCAGCATGTCCGGGTGCCTGCTGCACACCGCCGCTTCTCTCGGGAGCGGTGTGTCGTACTTTGTAGCATTCGTAAGAGGCAAAATGCATGTTCTCACTTGATGATATTGTGAAGCCCGTGTGTCCTTTAAAAGAAGTCTTCTACTACATCACATGGCACCAGGCTAAAAGACATTTTACCTCGGTGTGAACACTTACTACAAAGGACTGAGTGTGTAGCCCGCGCCAGGAGCTGTTTGTGGTTCAGCTGTGCGCTCCTCTAGTCTTCACGGATGCCCTTAATCCTGTGTAAGTGTCTTCATGTGTTTACTTTACCTGTGGTTCAGGACTGCATCGGTACTGGCGTACACTCACTGGTGAAAGGAAAGGCTGTGATCTAGGATAATTTGGTTTTGTTTTTTTTTTCTAGGCTACTATACCACTTTCATGCTATCAGATTTTAATATGCTTCTAAGGATGGATGAATTGGGTCCTTGGCATGCATTGTATGTAATTAGTAACTCAATGTAGAATAAAGACCAAAACCTCCAAAAGCACAAGAAAAGTTTCGTGCCATTAGACTGGGCAGTAATTTTGAGAAAATAATAAAGCTAAAATTGTAAACACAAAAGTTTTAAAAAAATTCTTTGTGCCTTCATCACGGGATGTAGTAACTGTGAAAGGATCTACAGAATGGGGAGGAACCCCTGTGACCCACATGTAGGAAGGGCTGTTCTCCACAGTGAAGATGCTCAATACAACGAATGCTCTGGACATGGAAAAGGCAGGGCAGGGGTACACATGCTGTAATCCAGCTACTCCAGAGGCTGAGACGGGAGGATTGCTCAAGCCGAGGAGTTGGAGGCCAGTCTAGTTTCAGGAATGCAGACACACAGGAGGCCAGTGGACATGGAAGAGTGCTGAGCATCATTTGTCACTGCACATTGCAGGCTGATGGGTGGATCACCTTACGTATCAGGATGGACACTGTTTCAGAGAGGGCAAGAGAAAGAAGCATTGACGAGGATATGGAGACCTAGGATGCTTTCTGCTCTCCAGGAAGGCAGAATGATGTCAACTTTATAAAAAGACACATGGCGGGCAGCCCCTCAAGAAATTAAACACAGCCTGGTGTGGTGCCGCACACCTGTAATCTCAGCACTTGGGAGGCAGAGGCAGGTGGATCTCTGAGTTCGAGGCCAGCCTGGTGTACATATTGCCTTCTAGGAGAGTCAGGGCTACAGTAAGAGCCTGTCTTTACAAACCAGAGGGTGGAGAGAGAAGAAGAAAGAAAGGAAAATTAGGGCTGGCGTAATGGCTGTTCTTCCGGAGGACCCAGGTTCAGTTTTCAGCAACCACAGGGCAGTTGACCACTGCAGTTCCAGGGCATCTGCCCCCCCCCCCCCAGACACACCAACGCACACAAAATAAGGTAAATCAAAATGTTTCTAGAAGAAAATAAAGTGGACACAAGGACTCCTCTGTGGTCCAGCATCTGCTTCTGGATAGGAATCCAAAAGAACCATGTGCGGCCTTATGTACCCACAATGTGTACAGACCGTGATCAAAGGTTGAAGCAGCTGAAGTGTCCTTCAGCAGACGGCTGATAAACAGAAT